TGTGTGTGTGTGTGTGTGTGTGTGTGTGTGTGTGTGTGTGTGTGTGTGTTTACAGGAAGCAGTAACAGTAGAAGGAGAAGCAGCCTCCGTGCCAGACGCAGCATCCTGCACGACACCAAACTCTGATCCCGATGAGACCAAGGACTTGGAGACGGAGGAGTCTGTGAGTCACCGCCTATGATGTCATCGTTTCCTGGAAAGAAAAAAAAGAAAAGATGATGTCTGCTGTGGTGGCCGTTGAATACGCTTTCTCTCGCTCTCGTATCCTCACGATGTGAAGAAATCATCCAAACACAAGAAGAAGAAGCAGAAAAAGGAGAAGGAAGAGAAGGATAAGAAAAAGAAGAAGAAGCACCATCATCATCACCACCACCACAGCGATGGAGGCGGAGAGGGCACTGTGCACAATGGCACGGTGGAGGAGGAAGAACCTCTACCGGTAAGTGAAATCAAAAAGTTTTTTTTATTGTCTGTAGCACTGATTAACTCATTCACTCATGGTAGTAATTATAAAAACTATTTCCTGATCTCAATGCTACAGTGGAACGTCAATCTTCCGAAACATGTTTGTTGCATCAGCTGTGCCGATCCAGTTGCTCTGTTTGTGTACAGCGCTAGGCAGAGAATGTCGAACCCTCACCTGAACTCATTTTTCATTTCAGCCCATGTCCAATTACTGCCTCCTCGCAGAGAACGCTTATATCAAGATGGTGAGTCATCGGGAATCGGGATACTTCCAAATCGGGGTTAAACGTTGGTGCGATATGGAAGATTAAATGAGTGATCAAGTCTTTCGAGGCAGCTGTCTAAATAAGTCTCATTGTCAAATCTCCCTTTCTTTTAAGATGATGGAAGATGCCGATCAGGTACTTGTCAAAGTTCTGTGACAGCCAGAACGTATTGAAACTCCTGTCCTAGATGTGTTTTTTGTTTTGTTTTTCTTCTGCATCGATTGGCTTCCCGTGCCACAGAGCTGCTTTCTTTTCGCAGATTCTTTCTGTCCTTGCTGCCTTGTTCTCGTATTGTTTTCGCAGAAAGAGCGCGCGCGTGATTGATGCTGCGTGCGACAAATTAGACAGTGTAACCTCCAAGGTTGATCGGGGTCTCGTACAGTTGATTAAGTGTGCCTTATCGTGCGGAAAATATTGTTTTTGGGGTTGTTTTTGTTTTTTGGGAAAGTTGTGCTTTTTTTTTGTGTACACATTTGAATGCTATTACAAGCAAGCAAGCGCTGCAACTTGTATGCAGTGTTGCCAGACAGCATTTTGACATGAAAATAAGATCAATAAGTTATTATTTATTTAGCCACATTGCAGAAAATCATAAATAGGTGTTTTTCCTTAAAAAAAAAAAAAAATCAGGAAAGGATTTGGAGACATTTCCAGGTTTGACTCTAAATTGTTCGTCTTTGGTGGTGTTTGACTTTGGAGGTTAAACTGTGCAACTTAATTCCCCCCCTGATAAATCGACAGGAATCTCACATGTTTAGTTTTCTCTTCTTCTCAGGTGTATGACATCCAGGGGAACCTACAAGATGGCAGCCAGGTGGTGGTGTCAGTCATCTTTGAGAACAAATGTGATAGCTTCCTGAAATCCATGGAGTTCAACGTGCTGGACTCTCTCAACTCCAAGCTGCAGAGGCCGGAGGGGGCGGGTGCGCACGACGGCCTCACCGTCCCCTTTCAGCTCCCGCCTGGTCAGTTGCTCTCTGCAATGCGCGCGCCAGGAATTTCCTGTTTGTTATGCAATGTGGGAGCTTTGCCCAAACCAACAAGTATCAAATTATCACAAGTTATGAGACTTTTTCAAACATTTACATTTATTTATTTTGGCCTCTATTCTCGGGCCCACCGAGCATGTGTATTGCCAACAGCCCTGTAATCTTTTAAATTTGAAAATTGGTTATTAAAAGGTATTTATTTCCTTCATAGTCGGTCAAGTTTGTTTACATGCATACATCTATTTCACACTAATCTCATACCATCAAATATTCATCTTTATTGCATACTGACTAGTGCTATCACTATTTTATTATGAGTTAGCAATTAATTAGGACAGAGTTTTTTTTTGTACCTGCATCTCTTAATGCCATGGTTTAAGAAAAAAATGTGGCAACAGAGATTTCGTAACCATGCAGAGGTTTGAATAATCTGAAATTGAAGATGTTCTACCAAAACTAACAAACCGTTCTCTCGTATCGCAGGGGTGTCCAACGAAGCTCGCTTTGTGTTCACTGTGCAGAGCATCGTGATGCCACAGAAACTCAAGGGAACGCTCACTTTCATTGTCAAGGTTAGAAAACCAAGCAGAGTATTGTCAAATTACGGCAACAACCTGAATGGTGCAACTCATTATCCAAACAGATTGATGTACAGTAAAAGTTATTTCCCCGAATCAGAATGAAGACTCTTCAACTCACGAGAAACTGGACTTCAAACTGCACTTTACTTGTACCTCCTACCTAATCACCACTCCATGCTACAGGTGAGGACCTGCAAAAATGTCAGTCTGAGGATAAATAACACTATTCACGCCTGTATTGTTATAGTTTCTATCTACATGTGCTGCTCCACCATTTGTGTCTTAACGCTAACAATTTCATTATGAATTCAAATGGTGTGATCAGACATCATGGTCATTTAAAATAAGTGGTTAGAACAAAAAGTTGAGAGTTTAACTTTTTGTTATCGCGAGAATTTATTGCTTTGTGGTTGTTGCTTTGGCTAGCGATGCATTTGCAAAGCTGTTGGAATCTGGGGACCTGAAGGGCAGCTCTGTCAAACTGGAAGGCATCAACATGCCCTTCCACCACCTTCTGGCCAGGATCTGCTTCCATCACCACTTCTCCGGTACGCAGACACAACTTGATCCATTTGATGGGTCTCAGTTGCTCAATCACAAACATTCAATGGAACACAACAGCCTAGCACAACAAAATCCATCCATCCATCCATCCACTAATCCGCTAATCCTCACGATGGTCACCGGTGTGCTGGAGCCTCTCCCAGCTGTCTTCGGGCAGTAGGTGGTGTACACACTGAACTGGTTGCCAGCCAATTGCAGTGCACACATAGAAAAACAACCATTTGTGCTCACACCGAGGGACAATTTAAGAGTGTTCCATGAACCTCCCATGCATGTTTTTGGATCGTGGTAGGTACCCAGAGAAAACCCACAACAAAATCAACGCCCCCCCCCAAAAAACATAATAATTCTCAATGCATATTGGCGTACATGCGAGAAGTATAGTACAGGGATACCTTAACTTACGTCCCTTCATACGAAATTTTCAAATTACGAAAGATCTTAACAGGAAAATATTGCCTCTTGTTACAAAAGAAATTCAACATACGAAAGATAAAAATACAGGGGCTTGGAACGAATTATGGCATTTACATGGAAAACGTGTCTCTACTTACAAATTTTCTAGTTACGGAATTTCTTTCAGAATGTTATGGTCAGAAGTTCACTTACAATAAATCATTAGGAAGTCCGAAATAGGGCATTCATGCAAAGTGTACCTGCATATTTGCGCAAAAGATTATCATGTGTGATTACTTTGTACTGTACTAAAGAATTGTCATTTTCAACCAGTTGTGGAGAGGGTCGACTCCTGTGCCTCTATGTACAGCAGATCTATCCAGGGTCACCATGTTTGTCTGCTCGTCAAAACCGTGAGTCACTTTTTCCTGCCTAACCCTTTCGTTCCTTTATTCACCCTGAGACACATCCCAAAAACTGCAGGGGGAAAGATTACATTGGTATTTTCTTAAGTGCAGGCTCTGCGCCAAATTAAATTTCCAAACACACCCTGTGTTGATGGCAGCTAACAAGTTTCAGTTGGACGAAACTTCACGTTTCCAACTATGGGAAATTATTTCTTGAGTTTAAAATGGCTTACCTTAACTTGCTTAGCCAAAAGAAATATTGGCAAATTCAAACATTCTTGACAGAAATAAGTTGTGAAATGTTCTCCATGGTTTGAATGGGAGTGAAATAGCACCATCTGGTGGGCAAATATAGTCATTAAAAATGTAAAGCTTGTCCAAATTTGAAATTTTTAACAAAAAACTGCTTTTTGTTCACAGTAAAAGTGTGATCAATGGCACATTTCTCGTTCATAGGAAATGGCATTTGTATGTGTAGCTCTGCCATTTTGGCAAGATAATTGTCCAAGAACACATTTGGCTTATTTCATTCAACACAGCCAAAATGGCCTAAAAAATAATGAATGTCAGGTTACTAAAAATATCTTTCGTGTTGAGTGACACTTTGATCCTCCTTGTCTCGCAGTCCAACCAGACGGTGTCCATCGACGCCAAATGTGACGAACCCGCGCTGCTCGGGAACGTGCTGGATGAGATCAAACAGACCTTCTCTGAGTGCGATTGTGTCCATGGTTAGCCCAACCTTCTCCCTCCTCGCTAAAACGCATCAAGATCACATTCAAAACACTGCGGGCGGCAATGCCGCCGTCGCCCTATTTATTTATCTGCTCTCCTCCTCCTCTTCTTTGCTCTTCCTGCCCCCTACTCTCTTGAGCACACTCACTTGACGTCGTTTTACAGACTGGCGGTGTACTCGCTCCGTGTTCTCCTGCGACGCACTTTTCAATTTCCTCTCTGAGCTCTTGGATGTCCCTCCTCCTCTGCTTCTTCCTCTTCTCCTCCACTGTCACATGGCGCCATTTTGACACCTGGACTTTTGCTGTTGATGGTTGAATTGCGTTTTTACTGGTTTTGAACTATGCTGTCATTGATGTGCCGTTTTATTTTTGTTTGTTTTGTTTTTTGTCTGTCTGAACGCCTGTTCGCGCCTTCTATGTGTGTGCGTGTGTGTAAACATCCGACTGCTGTTTCAGCCTTGAAACCAAGTGACTGTCTCTTTCTCAAAATTAAAAAAAAAAAAGAAAAAAGAGAGGAACTCGTACTCCCTACCTAATCTCTTCTGACCCTGAGGCCTGCAGTAGATGAGACCTTAGAGCGACTTGCACTACTCACAAAATGTTCAGGATATTGGGCTGTTAGGAAGAACCTAAAATGCATCAGTCTATTCCCTTAAGTGAACTTAATTTGACTTTTTGTGAACCTAATGTGAGTAGTGCACTGTGCAGTAACCAAGCTTGGGATAGCCAATCCCTCCTGCCCTGCCTGCTTTTCCCCCTACGGACCAAAATGGAGAGACACTTGAACACGAGTACCACCAGTCAACACCAATCAGATTCACAAACTTGTTTAGTTGCGTCACTGTTACATTTGATTACCTCAAAAGGTGACCATGTGTGACATACGAATAAATGCCTCCCTCTTTCCATCAGGGAAAAAAAAAACTCAGCAACTGTAAACTGTCTCACTTGATTGATGCTATTGTTCACACAGACACTAATTAACTACCAAGTCCATTTGCTAACCAAAAGACAAGCACATACTAAGCTCTCAACTGGTCTTTAGCATCGCAGTAGGCATTTATTTGCCTGTGTCTTTTATACCGAACTTAATAGAAGTGGGACACTTTCAGCTATTACGCATTCACACGTTCAGGTAATGTGATGATGAGTGGCAAGGAAAAGCCAACTAACACAAAACTAGTGTGGATGGTGAGGCTCCATATTCATATTCAATTCTGGCTGTGAGAAGTTGATAAATTCGATGGTCAAACATTATTGATACAGAGGCCGGAAAACCCCATACTTAAGATTCCACAACTTGACCGCTGAGCCTATTTAAATCCATTGCTAACCAAAACAGCAGCACCTGAGGCATGTAAATGATCCCGTCGTGTTCAGAGTGTGCAGGCTTACTACGAGTCACACTACAATGCTGTGTGCAGTCCCACTTGCATTTATATTTGTCCAAAATTGAGTTCATAGTCCAGTTTCAATTGCGACCATCTGCAGTTAAGTAAAGGTCTCCGGATTTTTTGTAGAAATGTGAATCACATACTTTTAGGTACAGTAATCAGGACGGAGCCCTGCTGCCAATGTGAGTAATTGATGAGCCCCCAAATTTCTTCATTTCTATAAATAATTAAAACTGTAAATAAACCATAAACTATCATGCCCCTAAAATTTTTGATATTTTCAAACTCACGTTACGGCATGAGTATTGAGACATCTACATGCAAAAATGCTCCATAACCTTCACCAACAACCCAGGCTAAACTTAACTACGGACATGCGGCGATGATTCTCTCGTGACTTCCACCATTAACTACCCAGGCTAACATCGGTTCCTCCCTGACATATGAACTTTGTCTCTCAGTCGAGATTTCACTTCAACATAGTTCCTTGGCACCAAGATGGCACCAAAGCCCTGTCTAAAAGAACAGTGACAATACATTTCGATAAGATGGGGACTTGTGTGTTCAAAATAGATGAAGGGTTTTTTTTCCAGCAAAGGACAGGCTCAAAATAAAATTTACCAGTCGCAACCCACGAATGGGCAAGGGAATAGTATACACATTTGAGGTGCCTACGGTGGCCCATGTGTCCCAAAAGGCATCCGTGATTCATCACAAATACTATTTTACCAAGGTATCGCAACACAATTATCAGTATTAGGCGCCACAGCATCTGTCCTCCTTACGTGCACCTGTTGTTTTCGCTTTTCCATTTCCATCACGGCAGGCCAAAGCACTCTCAAACCTAAATTTCTGAAGTAGCAAGCTCAAGACTAACTGTTAGCATCTGTTATATTTGTTTGTTTTCCTTCACAAGTCTGACTACGTGTGTGGTCAGCTGTAAATTTGCAGGAATGTCCATTGAAAACATGTTCCCGACAATGACCTATCCGTGGAGTTTCTCCCATATTGATTGTCACCTATTTCAGATCATTATATTATTGCATTACAACTTGTATATTGCATGATTTAGGAATGTACACTTTTTTATTCCCTTTTTTTTTCCTTCCATGGACATTTTCACCTGAATTGTCATTCCATTTTCTCCTGTTATTTTCTCTATAGAGTTTTTTTTTTTTAATGAACTACATACAGTACTTGGACAATGATGGTTGTTTTTATGCATTCTAAGTTTCGGAGGGGGAATAAATTCGATAGTTGAATGATTTAAATTATTAAAACGCAGGTGAGGATCAAGTGGGGGTGTTTAAAAGAAATCAGGATGAAGAGGGCATTGAGGGCTCCCAATTAAGAACAGGGCAGCACTGAGGGACTACCTGTCTTAATTCCCTCTCGGTTCGGCCGTCGTGTTCTTTTTGTAACATTCTTAGCTCTTGACATTGAAAGTATACTCTCCACACCACAGATTTCCAAAAGTACTGTCGTCTTGTTTCTCCATACTCTCCAGCTGTACAATGTCATATGTTTCAAAAGGTTGGACGTGAATGATCTTCACTCCCTGTAAAGATTACCCAACATAAAAGTAAAAATAAAAACTACAAGATGCTACTGTGTATGCCTTTTATTTATCCAAACTCTTATCTGAATTGAAAAAGGCAACGTTTAATATACATAACTGGTGGTAAATATGGATGTGTAGTAGGGTGGTCCATTTTGGAAAAGTTTGTCGGATTCGTCGGGCCGGGTCGGAAATCTTGTCGATACTATGACACAAGGATGTGTGCAAAATTTTATTCCGATCGGATAATTTTATCCCGTCCCGCAGAGCGACCAAAGTTTCCCCTATGGAAAGAATGTTACGGGGCTGAATGGTAGTACGGTTTCTCCCGTACAGTAAGGATTTTGTTTTGCTCAGTTCGCACTTGCAATAATTCAAAGACGGAAGACAGGAACGCATGTATTGCAAAAAAGGCAACCGTGGTTATCCTTCAACACTGGTGAGATTGTTGGTCCATGTTAACTGGTCCATCTGTCTATCTGTCCATCTGTCTATAATGTCCATCAACACTAGTGACACTGTTAGACCGCAAAAAAAACGAAATCCGCCGTGCGTGCCATCCCATGCCTACTTCGCGCACGGGTGCAACGCCCGGTGTCGCTCCACGACCTGCAGAAGGTGCTGTCGCTGTTCCTCGTCGCGCGTGATGGCGCCGCAGAACGCGCTGATGAGGGCGACGCCCCTCTCCGCAAAGTCGTTCACCACCCGTAGGTGACGAGCGCGCCGACGAGCCGTGGTGATGTTCGATGTCGAAAAGCGTCCTCAGCTCAGCGTCCAGTAAGAATTCCGGCGATTCTCGACTTCAATTGAAAGATATTAGCTCGCCAGTAGGTGACCGTTGTGTGTTAGGCGTGCGTTTGAGTTTGTCTCCGGCTGCTGAGAGCAGCGATGGAATGGTTAGTTAGTCAGGAGGTGATCGTTCGGGCAACATTCAGCCCAGCCAGTGTCACGCATGGCAAAATACACGGTTAAAATACACATGTTCACCCTATTGAGACCAGTTGTTATGGTGGAAACTTTGGCCGCTTTGCGGGACGGGAAAATATCATCAGATCGGAATGAAATTTTGCACAGAACCTTGTACCATAGTATCGACAAGAATTCCGACCCGGCCCGACGAATCCGACAAACTTTTTTTTTTGCCATGAAAATGTGGACCACCCTCATGTGTAGTTAACTTTGCCCTTGCCTCCACACACTAGATTATGATGCTCAGTTTTTATGGTTTGTAATTTTTCTGTGTATCATGGTCGTTTGCAGCTAAGTGTGGCTCCCTTGTAGAGCAACACACAAATGAGATACACTGCATGAATTGGTAATAGAAAGATTGAAACTAAGTGTAATTTTTTCAATTGTTCTATCAAGTTCAATTCAATATTTCACATTATTTTTACATCCAAAGGCTTGTACTCATGAAAACTCCAGTCTGGTACCTTGCCCGTGTTATGAAGTCCTCAAAGTAACGTAAATTTACATTTTTAAATTGTCAAACAAGTTTTAAAGACGATGTTGCTCATAGTCACAATTTTTACATTTTAAGTGAATGCGTTCCTAACTAAACAAAACTACAATTCCCATGATACCTTGCCCGTGTTTGACAGGCAGAATAAACTCCGTCCATTGACCATTTAAAAATATTCACGTGTAATGTTAGTCTTCATACATTTGTAATTGTTACTGTATTACACTGAATTCGCAAAACAAATTCCTTTCAGACTTCCAAAATAACAGACTTGTAAGCACAACTATGTGAATAAAATAAGTCGTCGAACCTACCGACTTCGGATTGCATTTCATTGGGAAAAAAAAAAATCACGACAATTCGAAAGAGCAAAACAATCCTAATGTGGCACTTGAACGCGTTTTACACCGCGTTACGAGTCGTCCTTCGTTTGGGCATACGGCCGTGACGCGTGTTTTTTGACAAAGGCGCACGCCAAGTGAGAGCTCTCTTACGCACAAAACAGCTCACGATTGTCACTTTTGTAACCTGGTTTCATATTTATTTCCAATTATATCCTCCCAGAAAACTTTTACATCGAAAACCCGCTAGCGGAAGTTTGTGCGACTATATAAACGCTTGAGTCGGAGGTTTGGAGGGCGGCGTTTGCATGGTCTCGTTAGACAAAATACAAGGCTGCTTTTCTCCAGTAAAACCGCTTCGATTCTACGTCTCCTCACACAAGAACACAGAGCCATTCTCTTGTCCAGGAGTGCCTCTTCAATTTTGGGGGGTTTGGCTGTCGGCAATTTTTTTGTCGTTTCGCTGGGGCGGCTTCACACGACTTGTCCAAGTCGTTTGTTTGTTTGTTTATTTGTAATATGGCTCAGCATGGAAATCCTGTGGCCAGTTCCCAGAAAGCACTCATGCTGGAGATGAAAAGTCTCCAGGACGAGCCCGTGGAAGGCTTCAAAATCACTCTGGTGAACGAGTCGGACATGTACAACTGGGAAGTGGCGATATTTGGTCCGCCGAATACGCACTACGAGGGCGGTTATTTTAAGGTGAGTGGCGAACTTTAGCTATCACTCAGCTATCACTCCAGCTACCTTTTGTTATTTTGCCAGCTTTCGAACGATTTTTTTTTCTTTCCTGACTTTTAAAACTGCTAACGTGTACAAGGTCTCTTTGACAATGACAAAGGCTCCTTGCGATACGAGTTTAAAACTCGCGCTGTATATGCCCGTTTTGGGGCCTTTTATATTTTTAATGTATTAATTACATCATTAGGAAAAAATACTACACAGATGAAATTTCACGTAGGATGTTCAAACATGTTGTTGTGTCTTGAAATGACGAGGCACACACACGCGTTTTCTATTATGTATTCGACCGTCGAGTTCCGCTATTAACAACGTGGGGAAGAGACTTAGACATTCAAGGTAACATTTCACACATACGCAGTAGATGGCAATACAAAGTACGGGAAGTCAATGCGTCCAAACAACATACAAATAACTATGGTGGTTAATACATCACACATGTCAAAGTTCAAAATGGCACCCTTGCGATACGAGTATAATTTGACCTGTGACCACGTGTCTCAATCCATCCATCCATCCACTTTCTGATAAGCTTATCCACATAATGGTCGCAGGGTGTGCTGGAGCCTATCCCAACTGTCTTCCGGCATTAGGCTGGGTACACCCTGAACTGGTTGCCAGCCAATTGCAGGGCACACTGTTGGGCGGAGAGCGGCCTCCTCTTCCCCGCGTGTTCGTTGAATAGTACAGAAGAGAAAAAATGATACTTTAACAATCAAATCTAACTAAGAAGAGAGGAATGATACTGTATCCTGACAATGATACTGTATCCTAACAACACATAGACTAACAACCATCCACACTGTCACTCACACCAACAGACAATTTAGAGTGTTCCATTAAACCTGCCATGCATGTTTTCGGAATATGGGAGGAAACTGGAGAACCCGGAGAAAACCCACACAGGCACTGGGAGAACATGGAATCTTTACACAGGGAGATCAGAGCCGGAATCGAACCCTGCACGTCTGCACTGTGAGGCTGACGTGCTAACCATTAAAATGTTTTGAAATGTGTATTGTACTCCGGCAAACGAGTTTAAAACTCGCGCTGTATATGCCCGTTTTGGGGCCTTTTATATTTTTAATGTATTAATTACATCATTAGGAAAAAATACTACACAGATTTCACGTAGGATGTTAAAACATGTTGTTGTGTCTTGAAATGACGAGGCACACACACGCGTTTTCTATTATGTATTCGACCGTCGAGTTCCGCTATTAACAACGTGGGGAAGAGACTTAGACATTCAAGGTAACATTTCACACATACGCAGTAGATGGCAATACAAAGTACGGGAAGTCAATGCGTCCAAACAACATACAAATAACTATGGTGGTTAATACATCACACATGTCAAAGTTCAAAATGGCACCTTGCGATACGAGTATAATTTGACCTGTGACCACGTGTCTCAATCCATCCATCCATCCACTTTCTGATAAGCTTATCCACATAATGGTCGCAGGGTGTGCTGGAGCCTATCCCAACTGTCTTCCGGCATTAGGCTGGGTACCCCCTGAACTGGATGTCAGTCAATTGCAGGGCACACTGTTGGGCGAAGAGCGGCCTCCTCTTCCCCGCGTGTTCGTTGAATAGTACAGAAGAGAAAAAATGATACTTTAACAATCAAATCTAACTAAGAAGAGAGGAATGATACTGTATCCTGACAATGATACTGTATCCTAACAACACATAGACTAACAACCATCCACACTGTCACTCACACCAACAGACAATTTAGAGTGTTCCATTAAACCTGCCATGCATGTTTTCGGAATATGGGAGGAAACTGGAGAACCCGGAGAAAACCCACACAGGCACTGGGAGAACATGGAATCTTTACACAGGGAGATCAGAGCCGGAATCGAACCCTGCACGTCTGCACTGTGAGGCTGACGTGCTAACCATTAAAATGTTTTGAAATGTGTATTGTCCTCCGGCCAAATCCCAGGAGCTTTGATTGCGCTATTTATGCCCCCGCCGCATCTCCACAGCCTGCGGAGTTTCATGAGCAAGCCTCTGGATTCCACCGCAGCTTACGAAAATGCGCAGCCTGGCTGCGAAATGCACCGTGTGGCTGTGACTCATTTTGCTCCAGGTTTCCATCGAACCTGTTTGCCCGATTCTTCTCTAGAGGGGAAACAACAGAACATGACGTCCACGATCGGTGCGTCTGTAAGGCACGTGGTGCAAAGCCTGCCAGTTTGACTCAGCGGTTTTGTTTTGGCGTCACTCAAATTGATGTCTCTTGGGAAGCGTCAACTTGGCCTCTCCCGATACACTCGAGTCAAAAGTTGTCCGACTTCCTTGACGGGGAGGGTCAGCATGTCACGCTCGTTGTCCTGCTGGTTCTTCCGCCCTGGTTTTGTTCCTACGGGCTTTACTCGTATCAACTGACTCTTTGTGAACAAATGTATCTGAGAAGTCAGAATTAAACGATCAATTATCCAATTTATCGACATCTGCTTTGATACTCGATGAATGGTCTTGAGCCATTATTTACTTAAAATTGTCCAACCAAAGGAGTCATAGTACATGGGGGTGAAAAAAAAATAACAGTTTAATCTGTGACGGAAAAAAAAAATTATTTGCAATCATTGTATGAATAACCTGCAGTTGACACATAAGCACAGGAGTTTATCCCCCGCGCATTAATTGTGACATCATCGGAACCATAGCGGGGACAAGCAGAAGTTAGATGGTGGTGGCCGTAACTGAATTTTTGCTTGCGAGAAAAACACTCGCCGTTTTCGCACACACCACACACCACATGAGCATCTTGGCGTCGGGTCACCGCAACTTTTCGATCAGCTTTTTGGAAAAGCTGCTTGCTGGGCTCCAGCTGTTTGTCACTGAGACTTGCGCGCACGTGTTGCGGCCTTCCGCTCGGGTTTACTTGATGCCGCTGAATGCAGGAAGTGGTCTCAATACTCGCCCTGTGCTAGCCGCAAGTAGTCGGAAACAAAAGAATCAAACTAGTAGTGTTCCCTTATCAAATTTTTTCCCCCTCCTTCCAGGGTTAACAATGCAGGGGCCCCGTTTGGTATGAATCTAAGCTTGGATAATTGCTATGAAAGAGGTTGTAGCCTTTAAACAAGCCAGCGCAAGGCCTGTGGAAATGAAAACAAAGATGGTGGAAAAGGTAGATGTGTGAATTCTCACACCTGACTTTTTAACCCTTTCATGCACCGATAATGATAACCTGGTAACCTAAGATGTCCACTGTAGTAACCGCCGTCCCTAAAAGTGTTAACTTATCCCGCACTTGAATTTTATACACTGGAGTCTTCGCTGCAAAGCAAAACGCGCGCACAATCAATCCCTTGACGTTTGCCAAACTGAAAGTCTCGTGTCGTCAGCTTTTGGTCTCGCAAGAAATTGCAAACTCATGTGGGCGGGTCAAATAGCGCCTTTTGTATTCGCTGGTGCTACGTTGAATGAATTGCAAGCCTTGAGAATAAAGAGGTTTGCATCGCAATTTAGGAGTCAAAATCCTCACGTTCGCGCCTCATTTAAATATCTTGAAAAGCAAAACTGAACGGTCATTTTATGGGGCTCAAAATGAGCTCTTGGGAGTTAGCGTTGTCGACCCGCCGGTTGGTTGGAAGCGCCAAACTTCGGCTATTTCCCGAGTTTGATGTTTCAACGTGTGCGTCTTGTGCTGAGCTCGTTGGCTTTCAGCCCACCTTCCCTTTTGCCACGTCTCCAACCAATGAACCCCTTGTACAATTTGTATTCCTCTGCACTCCATGTAGGTTGACTATAGTGAGCAGAAGCCTCATTATTTGATGTAAAATCCCCCAGCGAGGCTTCCAATGCCAGCTCGCCGCCCACCCCAACCTCTAGGGAGTTGTGTATGACCGGCCGACCGTGCCCAATCAGTAAATATTGCCTCATACTTGTAACGGGTTCCTCAGCACAGGTTTTCATTCCATGAACGAGGTGTACGCTTATCCTAAGTGTGGCCCAGGAGGGCTCCCTGACGCACCGTTGGTGCTCACTTTCATAAATTCTTACAACAGCAGCGCACAGGGATGAGCGCTGGATCGTCTTGGCCTGCAAGGGACGGTTTTCAAAACTAAACAACACCCCACAACACCCATCCAGCTCGACACACTGCGATGTCTTCACACTCATTTACTCCTCGCCCTCAACCTCGTTCCATTTTCGGCGCAATCTGAACTCGAGAGCGAGTAAAATGTGCTGAAAGAAGCATCCTGGCATGTACGCTCATTTTAATGGATGTCATTGATGCATATCGAGAGCTACGCTGATGTGTTGTTCCACTGCCTGTCCTAATGCCCGATTTGATTCCTCACAGGCCCTGCTCAAATTCCCCGTGGACTATCCCTACTCGCCGCCGTCTTTCCGCTTCCTCACCAAAATGTGGCATCCCAACATTTACGAGGTTAGCTTTGTCGATCCGAGTGATGTCCATCCAATTTGAATCGCACGTGAGCATTTTTGTCTTCTCCCACCGCGCGCCGTCTGCTAGAACGGCGAAGTGTGCATTTCGATCCTGCACCCGCCGGTGGACGACCCCCATAGCGGCGAGCTGCCTTCAGAGCGGTGGAACCCCACGCAGAATGTCAGGTAAGACGTTTGGCTACGCCCCCGGTCATGCTTGCCCGTCCAAAGCTGGAGGATGAGCGATAGGTTCACGTCATTACGTAATTAGCCACTGAATGACACAAAAGTGATGTAATTGATAAACGGGTGTGAGAAACTGAGGAACCATCAATCTCCCCCAAATTCCCCTCAAAACCTTGTGGATCATCTTTTTGGCAGGTTTAACATCAACAAACTCCTTGCAGGCTAGCCTCGATACCCGACAGTGATTTTGACATCAAAGATGAACGGTTCTGGGTTTGAACAGATTTGTTTGGCACTTAATACAGTGCTACAGTCATACCTCGGTTTTCGACCATAATCCGTTCCAGAAGGCTGTTCGAAAACCGATTTGTTCGAAAACCAAAACCACGCTCTTTAAAAAAAAAAAATCTTTATTGAACACGTCTGCTCACAATGGAACGGTACACGAGGAAGCGTCAATTCCTCGTGTAAGGAAGGGGAGAGGAGTCAAGTGGCGCATTCCAGTGTGCTCAGTTTGTTCGAGAACCGATTTTCGGTCGTAATCCGAGGCTTAAAAAACTCGAAATTTTTGGTTGAAAACCGATTTGGTCGAGAACAGAGATGTTCGAAAACCGAGGGTTGACTGTACTTATATTCAGGAAATTAATTGGTTCTGGAAGAAATTTCTTTACTAGAAAATTTTGTAAGTAGAGACGCGTTTTCCATGTAAATGACCTAATCCGTTCCAAGCCCCCCCAAAATTCAGACATAAATGTTTTCTAAAGCATCAAAATATATAACAAATACATGTTACAATTAGATTATTGCAAAATAAATGAGAATTGTGTGTAACATAAAGAATAAAAATGGTAATTTAACTTTTTACTGCGTCCCCATCGTTTTTTGCCCTCTTAAGTTCATGTTCTCTCTCAGAAATGATTTTTGTCTGGCGTTTTGTAAAGAACTGATCCGAGGACGTTTGCTTTTGTCAGCTTTTAATAATCCTTCAAAAATGTCCATGGCAAACATCAGCAGAGTGAGCGATCGCCTGACTGGTGAATACTTTTTCTGGGTGATTCACATTTACGTAAAACTATCGGAACGCCTCATGGCCTGAGGGGCGAATGACGACGCTGCATAGACGCATATCTTATCTTATGTACGCACGTGGGCACATATGACCGAAGTCTCTCTTAGCCAATGAGATGCCAGGATGGTGCTCGGTAATAGCCAATGGCAGAGCAGCTATAAGTACGTTGCGTTCAGGAAACTCGGAGCTGCGAGTAGCAGCCCCTGCTGAATTTTTTTTTTTTAATCTTTCGTATCTTGAAATTTCTTTAGTAACGAGGCAATATTTTCATGTTGAGGTGTTTCGTAACTTGAAAATGTCATATGAAGAGTACTACTGTATTGGAGGTCTTTTTCCATCAAGTTCCGCCCTTCGAATCGTTATTTTTCTCTCATCGCTCAGGACCATCCTGCTCAGCGTCATCTCCCTGCTCAACGAGCCCAACACCTTCTCCCCCGCCAACGTGGATGCCTCCGTCATGTACCGCAGGTGGAGGGAAAGCAAGGGTGAGGACCAGGAGTACATTGAGATCATCAGGTACCGCAGTTTAAAAAAGAAAAAGAATTCTCTCGGTGTAACATAACACAATGCTTTCAAGGACTTTGGTCCACCTCCATTTTTTTTGTTTGGTTTGTTTTTGTGACAAGGTGAACAATTAAATGCTCTTCGACTAGATGTCAAAGAGCTCATCATTATTGCAGTATGTCTACTTTTTGTGAAGGTTTTTTTTTGGGGGGGGGGTCACCCTTTGAAGCCGTTAAGTCTGACCAAAATATAGAAAGAAAAAAAAACATTGACAGATAAGCTTTCATTTCGGTACAAAGTACATTTTCATGAGTAAATTTAAAACACGTTGGGTTTAAAAATGGACGGCCTCCCTCAAATGGCCTCTTTCGTGTCTGTGCATGATTCGAGATTCAGCTTTGTAAGTTTTGTTGGGATGTCTTTTTCTGTGCTGTATGGAAATGTCACTGCGCACAGTGAATATTGCACTCAAGCTTGAATTTAATTCAAATGACTGTCAGAAAATTCGCAAAATCGCTCAGGCCTCGCACCGTTTCTCTCTTCCTGCTTTTCTTCACAGGAAGCAGGTGCAGGCCACCAAAAGCGAAGCGGATTTGGATGGCGTCAAGGTTCCCGTCACACTGGAGGAGTACTGCATTCGCACCAAAGTGCCGCCCACGGATGACGGCTCCAACCTGCTTTACGACGACGACGACTTTGACAATAACTTGGACGAAAACGGCATGGAGTACAGGAACTTCACGGACGACGGCTCCAATCTGCTTTACGACGACGATGACGACTTCAATTATAACTCTGCCGACGAAGGCATGGCAGACAACTACCAGGACATTCGCTCTAACTCGCAAGACAACTTCACAGAAGATGAATTTGATTATTGAGGTCGTTCTCTTTCCTTTTGTTTTGGGGATGCATCAGTGGAGTTTAAAGCTTTTTTTTTTTTTTAATCTTGCCATATCAAGTGAAACACAAACTATGATACGATTGAGCCAATTGTAATTGTGTGTCAGAAGCCCTGCCATGTTTTGGAGCAAAATCCCTCCCTCGTTCCTTTGACAAGATGGCGGCCGTCCGTGTTATCCTTGGAAGCTGTTCGTATTTGGAGCAAACGTCTGGCGGACGCTTTCATGGCAGCGTCTTCCGGCACATTCTCGCTGTGACGTATTGTCCTTTTTCTAAAATTGCCAAGCTTACTAAAAAAACAAATATGCACAACACAAATATGATGTGACTGTTGGATGAGCAATAGCATACTATTTGAGCAACGTACTTAGGGAAACACTGATGTTTCTTTTGTTGTTTTTGGGTATTTTTAAAGAGGGGTTTTGCTATTTCAGTGCAATTTTTTTCCGGTTTGGTGTTTTGACTCGTTTTCTTTTTCTGTGACCATCCCATTGAGCACCGACACCAAGCTCGAACAAAAAATTGATTAACAGCGTCTGCTATTTAATGTGTTAATTCAAATAGCCTAAAAAAATGCAAATTTATTCAATGGGCATTGAAACAACTGGGTGGGGGGTCAAGACATTCTTCTGGCTCACTTTCAATCTTGCTGGACCTTTACAATCTACCCGGATATTCACGCGGATAGTTTTGATTATTTTTTTCTTATAGTTTGTGTACTTAAAAAACAAATAAAGATCTTTATTAGGGTTCAGCTATTGTTTGAAGCAGTTGCTGTAAGCAGAAAGGTAAGATGCATTCATGTATTTTTCAGGTATTGGGTGGATTCCATGTGCAGTCAAGGGACCCGATTGGCTTTCTGGTGAAATTTTCAGGAACCAAAAATGCAGAAAACCTTCATTTTAGGGTCTCAGCTGAAATCCATTTTTTTTTTTTTTTTTGCTGTACAACTTTATGTAGGCACTTAATGGTGAAATTCACAGCATGTTTTTGAGGCATAAAATGTTCATGGATGTCCCCATTTCTGCCTCTCTGTAACAGTCTACCAGTTGTAACCTGCTGATGACATTGTTGCATTCGTCATTTTGGTTTTACGATGTCACAATGAACAGCATGACGAACGGTTTAAAAAATTACAAATACTTGATAGACATTTTTTTTACAACAATGTTGCTTGGCCACAAGATGGCACCATCATATTTTTTTTTTTTTTTACTTGACGTACCTTTTGAGACCATAAGTATATTTTTCAAGACAGGTTCATTGCACTAGTTTCGTTGAGAAAGGAAGTGGTTGCGGACATAGATGAAAAGTCCAAGGCTGGACAAAGTACACGGAGTAAAAGTGTTTTTTCATGGAATGAGAGACACATCGCAGAATCCATTTATAGCCTGGCGACATCACATTGCGCTCGCTGTCGTTCATTTCCGCGTCGACCCGACTTCCACCCAGCCCGCTGCTTATACTGTACTTGTGTTGCCGTGGCGACGTCTCCATTCCAGACATTCATGTCCAACCTCCTCTATTCTTTCTTCTGTTGCTATGCTGTGACCCAGATGACCCGGTTCGTTCCTCTCACCCAGGAGCTTCCAGTCGTGGAACATCTGATTCATTGCGGCTGTCCTCTGTCACCCTTTTGTACTTTACGAGATTAAGATGTTCCCGAAAGCCAACCTAGCAATTTATTAGAGTAGATTTTTTTCCGGTTTATCTTTCTATCACCGTTGATGATGATAGAAAAGTTGTAAATGGAGAGAGCTAAAGTCAACGGTGGTTGAGATCTTGATTGAGATCTTTGGGTCATTTCAAATACAGTAAATACGCAATATGATGATGAAAAAAAATCCAGTATCAACATCCTAAAAAAAAAATTCTTCTGGAAAGTTGATTAGAAATAAGTTTAATATCTTGGACAGTGTGGCCTGTTGTGTTTCTGTTGACTGCTTGGACTTCAGCAGTAGAGCTAGCGAGTGGAGGCCCGAGACCTTTCCACCCGTGTCGTCGGTTGTTACACAATTGATTAACCGGCCTTTTGTAATTCCACAGGTGACTCCGAACAAAACCTTTCCTGCCGAAGTCAAGAGTTTTGTTCCCCCCCCCCCCCCTTTTTTTTTTTTACCCATGGCAGGTGTAAGTGTTGCCATAGCGAAGTCTCCAAGGAAACAGCACTTTAAACCCGACACGCCAAAGAAGAGAAGCTGGCTAGAGGAAGGTGGAGATGAGAAAAAAAAAATTGCTCCAATTGAAATTAGACAGCAGGTGCTTGTGCGCTTATTCCAATGATACGCTCACAGGATGCTTGATATTAATTTCACAATATGTTTATGATTCGGCTTGGAGTTTACACTGACTTTATCTCATGTATACAGTGATGAAATGTGACACCTGGTTTTATTTTCCCTCATTCAATTTCTTGGTTTTAATTTTATTTAAATATTCTGGAGATATACTGTATGGCCATGCATCCATCCGTTTATCCTCACGGGGGTCGCCGGTGTGCTGGAGCCTCTCCCAGCTGTCTTGGAGCAGTCGGCGGGGTACACCCTGAACAGGTTGCCAACTAATCGCACCGCAGACGTAGAAGAATCATACCTCGGGACAATTTCGAGTGTTCCATTAATATTTTTTATTATATAATATTAATATTATTTATACTCAAGATTTTCTCATGTGTTCGCGGAGCAGAAGCTGACTTGAATTCAAGCAAAAGTGCTTTTCATTTTTTTTACTGTATATGGAAACGCTTTGCCCCTCCTGTACAGTAAGTGGCGGTATGCACCAATGAGCATTTTAGAAGAAGAAGAAGAAGCAGACGATGAACATTTAAACACAAGAAAATAAATAACTAAATACATAAATAAATAGATAGATAGATAGATAGATAGATAGATGAAAATGTAGCTCTCTTATATTTTCGTACCCACCACTAAAACGCTTGGACACTCCTCAAACGCTCTCACACTCACACTCTTGTTACACATGCCTGTCAACTCATACGGTTTAGCCATAGTTCATACGGATTTTGTGGTGAATCTTACGTATATGGCCATATCGCACAAATCATACGGATTCTGAAAATTTCCGTTTTTTTCCCCCTAACAGGTAGTTCCGTTTGCTTTTGCCCAGAATGGTGCTCGTCTACTCGAATGCTTTCATTTCCGGTAACTTTCCAGTAAATCACGTGGTTCCTAGTTGAAAACAGCAGAGTATTCATTGCATACTTCGGTAGTGTACAAGCAAGTTCTACAAGGAAACAAATATATCATTCATATTTCGTGGGGGGGTTTTCTGCCGTTATTTTGACATATAAATGCTTTGGTATGTTATAAGGAGTTTTTGCTCTTTATAAGCATTTTTTTGGTAGTTTATACAGGTTGGCGCTCCGAAAAGTTGACAGGTATGGTTACAGTACGTATTACAAGCTCTCACACGATGCGGAAACGGTTTTCCCACGCTCGTAAAATTCTCTCGCGCACTATTTGACTTTTTTTTTTTTTAATGCTACCGGAACACACCACTGGAACTGCTCTCATAATATGTCGATAAGGTTTCCAACATTGCATAATGTACTGAAATGTAGAATTCTGTGTTGTGTGAAAGTGAAATATCGTTTAGCGTCTTTGGGTCCTTTGAAAGGTTGGAATAGGATAGGATAGGAATTCGTTGTTATTTTCCATTTCAATCCAAATGTGTGCATCATTACTGATGCAATCATCAACGCTGTCAATGTGTTATGCGCAGGAAGCAAATACTTGACATGCATACAGGTGTGTGTGTGTGTGTGCGTGCGTGTGTGTGTGTGTGTGTCACACGGCTCAAGCTACTTGGTCACTCCGACTGTTGTGTTGCATATATAAACCTTCCACCCGAGGCTCTGCACCGCACCGCGAAAAGTACCCATCATTCCTCACACGACAAACAAGTGAACACCTGTGGCTGCGAGAATCGAGACGTGTCGGAGCAAAAAACCGTCTTTTATCCTCCTCCAACACTGTAAGTATATCAACAGTTTGTTTTTGTTTTTTTTTTTTGCAGCGGCAGCTCCCCTTTTACGGAGTCTGTGCACACCTGACGTTGAATGGTGACAAACTTCACTTTTCCGGCTTTTGAAAGCCTCATGGTAATTTTTTAGTGCGCAAAAAAACCCCAAAAATCCAGCCGTGCCGACTGAACTAGTTTCTCATGAGTGTGACGCAGTAGCTCATGTTTCATCGCCGCTTGACTTCTCTCATGAACATGCCGAGTGGTTTGTCTTTTCACGGAAGATCAGAGACCAGAACATTTGGTACACCTGCAGTACCTTATGACATCCAAATGCAAAAGTGATATACAAAGACAATGCTAACTTTTAGATATTAATGACATAGAGATGGTGAATAAAATAACCAAAGTATGAGCAACAGCCCTCGCTATTATAGACTTTAAATCTTTTTAAACGTAATTAGATCGAATAAATCTTTTAAAAAGTGCTCTTTGTTTTTTTTTTCAATTCTTAAAAATACGTAATATGATGCAATTCAGTTTTACAAATAGTAAACAGATGACTAGTTCTTTGATAGTCAATTAAAACTGAGCATTATGATCTTTTTTCAAGGCAAGCCTTTTTGACCGAGGTCTTGTATTGGCTCTTACTACATTGTGCAAGTCTAGCTGAAATTGATTTCGCATGCGTACTGTGAAGTTAAAATCCCCAGAGTAGCCTACATGCCACTAAATGTGCCAAAGAATGGAGCACTCGTTAGAAGTACGCTTCTTATACAACATTAATAGTCTGTACACTTATCTAGAAGATTGGTTAAAGTACAAGTACTGATTCAACTCCCGTACTTAAGTATACAAGGACAAATGCTGAAATGTGCCTGAATGCAAAAGGTTTTTTCTTTTCTTCCATTCAACAATACCAGTGGCAAAAGTACTCCATGGCTAGGGAAAAAAAAAAGCTGGTAGAAGTCCAAGTACTTATTCAACTCCTGACAGTATAGACTCTGAAATGTAAAAAAAAAAAAAAAAAAAAAAAAGTACAAATGAATTTTGAACTGCTAGTTATATACATTCCAGTTTTCAGAACTTGGTGCAATGGAAAAAAAAAAATGCACCAAAAAATTATTTTCTCTGATCAGCTTATAATCGGCATACTGAGAGGACCTTAGCTTGGCTAAACCTGTGACCTGACGAACAAAAAATTCTTTTAAATAAGGCCAAGGCTGGGGGATATTTTGCTTTTCAGAATTTGTCGCGTCCTAGTTGTTAATGCTCCCTGATTCATAATCCACTTTTTAAGCCCTATTAATCTCAATCAAGGTCTGAATCTCATTTAACTTTGCCTCTCTCGGTGCATCTTTTTCAACGTCGGCGCCTCAGGAAATTAATTTCCAAGGGTTAAACGATTTTTGATGTTGAACGTAGGGAGTAAAAGTCATCCGAGTACACAGTCGTGTTACTTTTCACCATTGTTGTCATCTCGCACTTCGAAAAGTGATTTGTGATTCAAGTGCCGCAAGCTAATAACCAGAAAACAAACCTGGTGTTATTTTTGTCTGTGCTCCCGACGGACTCCTGATTGACACCCCTTCGCTTCTCCTTTTGCGTTATTAGCTGCACTTCCACCTGACTGCACGCCACCAGCCGCCCTCACGCCCACGCGGCCCGTCATCCAGGGGGGGGGTGGGGCGCCATGTGGGTTTTGGATAAGATCCGCGGCTCGGTGGAGACGGGTGTGCTGCGGCACGGGGAGAACGGCGACAAGAAAGGCGCGGCGCCGCCCTACACCAATGTCCTCACGCCGGACAAGATCCCGGATTTCTTCATCCCGCCCAAGTTGGTCAGCTGCCCTCCTGAACCCGAGGCGGTGAAACCGAAGGACGCCTTGCAGCCTTCGACGTCAGAGCAAACCATCGGCGGCGGGAGGAAAATCAGTGTCCCCAAAAGCCCCCGTCTGGTGGCCAAGCTGGCGGGAGACACAAAGAACCTGCTGAAGTCAGCCAACCGTCACATCATTCAGATCGAGAGCGCGGACGACGTCATCGCCGGCGACACCAACGCCGACCCCCAGTCACAGACCGCCATGTCCCTCCCCTACGTCCCCAAGACCCAAACCTCTTACGGCTTCACCACCTTGAAGGAGAGCCCCCACACTCGTCGCAAGGAGTCTCTCTTCCACTGTGACATCACCAGTCCCATGACCTCCCCCAACAGCCAGAGGAAGACCCCCGGCAAAGGCGACGGAAGCGGCAACCACCTGAACCCGGCCGACTTCAACACCTCCCACATGAACCCGTACCGCTATTTCAGCGGCGGCGAGAGCGACACCTGCTCCTCGGCCGAGTCGTCGCCCTTCAGCTCGCCGCTGCTGTCCCGCTCCGCCTCGCTGCTCAAGATCTTCACGCATGAGACGCAGGCCAAGGTGGTGAAGGCCAAGCGCTCCTTCGCCCGCCACAGCTCCCTCTCCACCGACGAGTGCAGCTCGGCCGAGCCCAGCCCCAGCGTCCAGCGCCGGCTGCACATCCCGTCCTTCCACTGCGCAAGCGCGCCGTCCGCGGAGCACGGCTCCCAGCGGGAGCACACGGTCAACCTGCACAAGGGCGGCAGCGTCCGCATCAGCGCGCACTACGACGCCGGCACCTCCCGCCTGCGCGTGCGCGTCCTGGCCGCCGAGAGCCTTTACGACAAACACTTTGACATCAAGAGCATCAACTGCTGCGTGTCCGTCTACCTGAACCCCGGCAAGTTGCAGAAGCAACGCAGCAACATCATCAAGAACAGTCGCAACCCCGTCTTCAACGAGGACTTCTTCTTCGACGCCGTCGGCCCGCTCCAGGTCAAGAACCTGTCGCTCAAGTTCAAGGTGGTCAACAAAGGCACCAGTCTCAAACGGAACACTCTGCTGGGGGAGCGGGAGGTCCTGCTGAGCAAGCTGCTCTCCGGGGTCTAGACTCCAAAGAGCAACCAGAAAGCAAGGCCACGAATGGACCTTTTTTTTTTTTTTTTTTTTTTTACAAGTTCTTTGCACTGCTCCACCACTTTGTGTCGTGTTGTTAGGACACATTTCCACCGGGCCGTACGCTTAATTCCAAGACGCTTTGGAACGGTCAAACCCTTTGTGAACCAGAAGTTCTCAGTGTTTTGGGGTCCAGAGACACCATCAGAGGGAGAAATGTTACCCAAAAATGCATCAAAAGATAAACCGCAGATTTAAAGAGATACGATCCACAGAAATAAAATCGGAGCTACAACAGGGCCATGGGGGAAGAACACTGTACAGTGCTACCTTGACTTCGAAATTTAACGTTTCCATGACGAAGCTCAGTTTACTCACCGACTCAAAAAAAAATCTTCCTTATTGAGATGAATCAAAATGCCATTAAATCGTTCCAGGTCCCCAATTGCTATTGTTTGTGATTTTTGAGAAAGATATTTTCGTGGCGACTTAAATTGAAATCTTTCATGGCTGATGGCGTCTCCAAGCAAACTAGGCAGACATGTTTGTTTAAATTTGGTGAGCATATTATCTGCTTTCCATTATACCTGAAAGACACTATTGTCTGGATCAAATTTGGTCCTGGCTTCTTGGGCTGGAGTTGCTCTTAAGCCACGTCTGCCATCTAGTGGTATACACTGTCATTACAACTTAAAACTGATCATCAATCGTCAACATTTTAATTTTCTAAAAGACAATCAAGGAGTATCTCAAACATGGGTATGAGCCAGTTGCCCATCCCTGCTTTTGCTGCCCACAAATGGTGAAGCAACGCAGGCATATATTCTTTATCCTCGGTCAAAAAGCAACTCTTATTATTGCATCATATTGACTCGCTGAGGATAGTGGTGAGTCTTTGTTTGTGTCAGTAGGACTGTATTGTACTGCTGCCCAGTGACCAAGTTGGGCATACCAGAAAGAGCAGCGCGATGTACTGAAATGAACAATCAAATCATGCTGTACAACCTGATTAGTTCTAAATGCTATTGCAACATGTTTTTATAAAGACTTTCGGAGAGCTCTACTTTCCTTATTAAATAAATTAATTGTGTTGGTGGCCGGAGTGGATTAATGCCACTTTTATTTATTACAGTGGAGAAAGATGATTTGTGATCTAAGCCTGGCCAGGCAACAAATTCAAGTCGTATCTCAAGGCATCCTGTACATCGCTGGCAGAGATAAATGAAGGAAAATCATTATTCGTATTCAATAAATTTGAAACCAGGTATGTGAAATTGGTGGAATACTTGACTTCAGTGCTGCTCAGTTCAAGGATTCTTCATCAGTAGCAGGTTCCGATGTCTCCAGGTTCTCAAACCTCCTGTAGCCAATGTTACATTTCCCCAAGCAAATGAGCTTGCAACGTATGGACTTTCCACCGGTCTCCCTTCCACCATGCACGCGCGTCACCAGATGTGTCGCATGCTGTGATTATGATTGTAATGTGACGCCTTGGCCACAAGCCGCGCGCGCCCGTGCACAAAGGTGCTTTTGTGAACCCCTTCCCCACACCCCCGCCACTGCTTTGACGTCCTGATGTGCAAATGATGCTTTGATCCCAGGGGAGGGAAACAAACAAGCAAAAAAAAAAAAAAAAAATTTGAACAACAATGCAAGTGCACCGTGTTGCATGGCATGAATGTGTGCTCAAAATATTGCATGAAACCCCAAAGCCTTACAGACTGTACCGGACACTACATTAAGTACACCTGTAGCAACGCCTAGCCAGGAGAATTCTGGTAAGAATGCTTTGGACTTTGACCAATGATTTGGGCCAACCATTCACACTCCCTCTTTTGGAGAGGGAGAGAGAGATTCACTTATTCTGTAAGAAAAGCCTTCCATTTTTTCCAACCTTCATGGGAGATTGTTGTCACTCATAGCCATTACTTGCCAGCAGTTTCTGCATCTCCTTTGTTGTAGACCTCTTGACACCGTGTTTGACTAATTTCCTGTCACCAACCTACCATGGATGTGATGTGATTGTGATATTAGTTCCAGGTGACTTTGGCAGAGAGGTAGGGTAAACCCTGGGTGGGTCGCCTGTCAATCGCAGGGCACATATAGAGAAATGACACTTAGATTCACATAGACCAACAGACATATAGATTGATTTTATTTGTGAGACATCCTTTTCGTTTTGTCACTCTTACCACATAGCCCAAATGTGAAGACTACAGGGGAGGTTGTTGTCACACACGGGACTCAACCAATACTTGCCAGCAATTCCTCCAGATCCTCTGCTGTTGCTTCTAGCTCTGACATACTTCGCAGCCTCCTTAACCAGATCCGTTAAGCAGAAAGTAAAACTGTGATCAAGCCTGACAGCAGCGTGCAACACAAAAGCATGAAAAAGTGGAATTCGAACCCTGAAGTTCAAAAAACGTGAGGCAAATGTGCTCACCACTACTAGACCATGCTGTCTCGAAGTCTATCTAAAACGAGTTAATTTTAGTCTGATAAGGCACAATTACGAATTGCTACTGCAGGTGTACCTCATGTTTTTGTCACCAAGTGTGTGTGTGTGTGTGTGTGTGTGAGATGAGCAAGACGTTCAAATAATGTTTGCATGTTTTTGAGATTTATTTTTATTTTTTAAACAATAAAGGTGTGTATCATTTTTCTCAACGTGTGTTAGTGATGCACTGGCATGGCGACGTCATCTTGGCCTCACTCGCATGCGGCGACATCCCTAAGTGTTTTGGACTGAAGAAAAATAAATAAAGACATCAAACTTCAATAAAATTTTTCTGCTCTGTATACATTATAAACTGTTGATGTAACTGTCTTGCGTACAAATTGCCTCAAAGTCGGGCGTGTCAACCAGGCAGAATGCTAGGCGGGTAGCCTGCAGTGGCGTTGGTGTCGTCTGCCGCGCGCTCTGATGTGTATGTTTGCCGCCAATGTCGGGTTCACGCCACTTACGTGATTTTTAAGTGAACTTTTGTTTGACAAGTGATTGGTGTAACTGTTGTCATGTAGCAAAAGTAGACGTGAGCAGTTTGATGAATAAAAAAAATCAATTGACCAACCTGAAGCGGATGTGTTGGCTTCATTTTTTTTCTGGGAGTCACATTACGTAATTAAAGACGCAAGTGGAAATAACGGGGCTCTCGCGTCCTGTTTTTCAGAATCAGAAGGTTAACCATCTTTTCATGGTTATTGAAAATATATTTTTTTAATTCTTGAAAAAAAAAATGCAACTTTGTTCGGATAGAAATGTTTTTTCTTGTACACTATTTGAACTATTTCACACCTATTGTACAAAACTTCAATACATTTCCATTTGGTTTCTTATCATGTAGCTTTGTAATCCAACTTTTTTTCCTTTAAAAATTAAACTTAATTCTTGGCAACATAATATTTGAACATTAGTGCATGATTCAAATACATTTTTTTTTACTTTTTTATTGATGAAATATTAGAGCTTTCCTCTCCCCCCAAAATGCATCATTGTGATTTGTGCACACTTAACACAACCTTTTTTTTTTTGTTAAACTCAGAGATGTAAAACTTTTTCCTATGTACACAAAAGACCTGTTTCTATTAAAAATGTACAAACCTTTCTAAATTTGTGTTCAACACTTCAATCCATCCTTCTCACAGGTGCGCCACATCAAGAGTGTGTCTTTGTGTGTGCGTGTGCGTGTGTGTGTGTGTGTGTGTATTTGTGCGCACCAGCTCATTCAAAGGTTTTTTTTTTTCCACAGAAGAATATTCGAGTTGTGGTTCAATGTTTGAATATGATTCATGGCAAACCATCAAACCAGTGAGCTCCAGAAAAGCTGCCTGACTACAAACGGCTTTTACAAGGTACACACTCAGCTCACTTGGCCCACGCACACAAACTCACACAAATACACAAAAAAAGTACTTTTTTTGTTTGTTTGTTTGTTTCTGACATGAAGTTAAGAAACAAAGACGTGTTTCACCAATAGGCACCACGGTTTATTTCCGTTCTCTTTTCCCAGCTTGCAGATTGATTTGTAATTTTGTCATCTGGCGCGGTTGGCCGAGCGGCCATCTGAGATGTGGCGCTGACGAAATGAAAAGCTATACACCAGAGGGAAAATTTGATTGGGGCAATTTGTATCCCCGGCTTTCTTGGCAACGCAGAGGCTGTTATTGGCTTTGGGATCGCTATGGCAACCGGGGAGCAGAGTGTCTGCTGAGTGAAGGAATGAAATAAGTGTGTGCGGGTGTGTTTGCGGGAGGTTTGGTATTGCTGTTTAAATTGCCAGCCAGTATAATTGCACTAAAGTGTTTTATTTTCTCCTTCCGGCATTAACCCTGCAACACTGTGACTACTTCCAGCTATCAAGGTACTGAACGCGGTTTAGGATTCCGTTTGAAATTCACCCAGGACTGGTCGCCTGTCAATCACAGGCCACATAAAGAGGATATTGTTGTCACCAGATATAACATAGCCATTACTTGCCAACAGTTCCTGTGGCTTCTTTAATGTTGCTGTTGGCCTCTTAACAGCCTCCCTTTCCAATTTTCCTTCCTCTGACCATGGCTGTGATGTGATTGGTCAATTTCTATACCACTTATCCTGATTCGTCGTGGGTCAGATGGAGCCTATCCCAGCTGACTATAGGTTGGTCGCCTGTCAATCGCAGGGCCCATGTAGACAAATGATACTCACAAAGAAAGATTGATAGATTGGCATCATTTATGAGAAAATGATTCTGTTTTGTTACCCCAACCAAAATGCGAAGAATGCTGGGGAGTTTGGTCTTACACAAAGTTACACAACCAGTACGTGCCAGCAATTCCTGCAAATCCTTCAGTGTTCCTTTTGACATACATTGCAACCTCCCTGATCAGGTGATTGAAGCCCAGAGTGAGACCGTGACGAACTTTTACAAGAGCGCTGCACAAAAGCCTGGAAAAGAAGCATGTAGAGAGAGATCACTGAAGCATCTGCCACTGTGACGGTTCGATGGGAGCTGGCGACCGCAGGTAACTATCCTGCGTGGGTTGCTGTGGCAACACACGGGTGAACCTTTAACACGGGCGAGGGGGTGGGGCGGAAGACTTAAATACAGACTGAAAAATGGATTGATGGAACCTGAAACAAATGAGACGCTAATTGTTACCAATTTTTGCGTGGGGCTTTTTCTAACAAATCAACCTGAGTGATGGAGATTAAATCGTGCGGCATTTGGGCAATGAAATAAATATTTGGTCCTTCACTCAGATTTGTATTTGCCCATTTCTGTAGCACATGCTACAATGCAGTTTTTTCGTTCTTTTCTTTTTTTTTTTAATCATGAAAAAAAGAAAGCGGCCATCGTGAAATAAAAGCAGGTTGATCAACATCATGCGGACTGTTTTCCCCTCACTGGCCTCTCATCATATTAGGCTCCTGGGCGCTTGCTGTTGTCAAATTAAATGATTCAGGTCTTGCAAGGAAGAAATGCATGCTGACATGATGTTGTGTTCAACAAACAAATCCTTCTAAAAATGTCTTCTTTTACATAATGAGCATAACTTAGATTTTATTTTCTCGATTCCACAAGGGATGTGGAGGCTCTTGTGGACAGGAGAATAGACACCTGCTCTTCACAGGGTAATTAATAATCCGGGCTAGTACTCTCCACCAGTTGCTTGGTGTTTCTGTCTCATCGTGCTAGTGCTAGTATTCCTAATCATTTTCTAAAAGTAGCTGACGTGTGTAAAGTATAGTATCCCGTGCTAACTTGTGTAGTTGGTGTCTGTTCATTTCTCTCTTCGTTGGTTAAGTTGTGTAGTTAGCAATTTTTCATTTGACTCTGTTCGTTGTTAGCTACCTCGTGTAGTTAGCGTCTTTTCATTTCGCTCTGTCATTTGCTGACTAGCTTTAGTAGTTAGCATATTTTTATTTCTCTCTGTCCGTTGTTTGCTAACTCTCAGAGTTAGCTTCTGTTTCTTCTCACCTATCTGTGGATTGTTTCTATTTCTTGTTCACGTACAATTAGATATATTGTGGCGGACACTAGGACCATGCTTCTCACCCAGCAGGCATACAGTAGGGGGCGTGTTTATGTGAATGTCTTTGGCGCTATTTTGTAATTGTTCAGATCCACTTGTTGGCAGTCGTGGAATAAAGACATATATACAGTCAATCGTGTGTGCTCCTTTTGACTGCCACAATATGACATTTAATCGTATGATGCGTCTGCGTGTCTGTGTAGTATTCGTTGTTGTTGTGTTTATTTCTTACAATGCTGAAAAAAAAATAATGAGCCATTTTGAGGCTAGCTCGGGACTTTTCAATCTCTTTCATGATCAATCCTTCATTTGCAATGAGGTGACTCCCCCCGTTGAAGTGGACTCAGCTTCGCGTAGCCCACAGCATGGGAAGCAATATTTACTCAGATTAATCAATCCCGATAAAATAGGGGAAGAAATGCGTGTGTGTTACGGATTAAATGGCATACCTTCAGGTTGCTATGGTGACAGGCAGGGGAGCAGACACCTGTGAATTAACATCAGCTCCGCGGAAACAGGATCTTAATTAGCGGAGCACGGGAACGAGCGTCCATTCAAGGCGTGAAAATCAAAGAGTTGGTGTTCAAAAGAACAGCTGTACGTCTGTCTGACGCGATTGGAGTTGGAGAGATGGAAAAGCTTTTTTTTTCTTCTCCCCACATCTAAGCAAACTGTGGATACTTGACATGCAACACTTGCATTGGTCTTGACTCACTAAGCAGCGATTGTCCATATACTGAAAAAAAAAAAGGTCTTCAAATCAAACCACTCCTGCGTTCATTGATAACGATACTTGAACTGATATGTGAACACAAATGGTACAGCCAAGACCAAAGGACCTCACAGCCATATATTCTTTATCCTCTGCGAGGAGTTGAAACAACCCGTTCGTTTATTTGCTGAGTTTGGTCATGTGACATTCACACGCTGAGCCATGATTGGTTGTTATGTGAGCCCTGACCAACTCTGATGTCATTTTCAGTCGACGACAGCAAGTGACAAAATGGCCACCTTCTAACACAAACGAAAGCGGATGGATTTTGCTGCTTAATTCATATTCCGCAAATGCAAAATGAATCAGAATACTACATTTAGACCAAGGTTATTATGGTTCATTAAAACGAATGAAGTAACTAAAATTGAAAAAAAAAACATTTTCATTCAAATAAAAACAAAAACAAACTGACACAAGATCTTATTATTGTCAAAACGTGCTTCTTTTTCATCTTTCTCAATTAATATCTTACATGAGCCTTCAGGGTTAATTTTAAGTATATTTCGGTATTGCTGTATGTCTGTACAGAAGAAGTAAAGTCACACAGGCAATTCTAAACATTTTTGGGTGAACGCATGTTCACCATTTTGGATTCACGGTATCTTACTGAGACTTAGGTACAGCGTGTGAATATCTCCGAGATACACAAAGTTGTCTTGACCTCATTCCTCATACCTTGTATTCATCCATTCATGCGCTTGCTTAGATTGAAATGATATGACATCTGAACAACTTGTTCTCCTTCTGCAAGATTTTTTTTTTCAAAAAGTCCTCACAGTAAATCAAAACAATTTTTAAAAAATCTCATTCGGATCCTTCGCCTCAGGATGAAACAAGGACACGGTGCCCCTGATGAGCTTCGGATACACGAGGAGCTATTTTATGTGGTTTTGATTCTCTTTCTGCTCTGCATGGACGCTTGTTGTATTGTAGGTCACGTTTTTCTTTCAGCCGGTAGTCCTGCTGATGCCTCGATTGATCGCAGCCACTCAAATGGATTTCCTTTTTGCGCCACTAAAAGGGTTTAGAGCCTTTTGCGAAAAGAACACACTCTCCGAGAACGCTTTATGTGGAGGAAGTCAGTGTCTCCCAACGTGAGAATTCAAAAATGTGTCTCAATAGTACAGCGGTTATAAAAAGTCAACAGACACCCTCAAATTTCAGGTTTTGTGATATATAAAACATGACAGCAAGATAAGCCATTTCAAAACTATTCCCGCTATGAATGTAACCTATAATCTGCACAACTCAATTTGAAAAAAAAAAAACATGTCGAGGGTGGAAATAAAAATAAGCAACTGCGCCATTTAAAGTGCCTCTGATTAGCCCCAAATGTATTTCAGAAGTTCTAGAAGGCTTTTTATGACTTTGTTGTTTGGTATCAAGCAGATGCCTGAAGGTTTTGATTTATCTCTGCCTGCGATATGGGGACAGTTCATAATTCACTCTACTCCAAAGTGGCACGGTGGTCGACTGCATAGTACGTTGACCTCACAGTGCAGAGGTTGTGGGTTCGATTCCGGCTGCGGCCTCCCTGTGTGGAGTATTCCGGTTTCCTCCCGCATTCTGAGGACATGCGTGGCAGGCTAATGGAAAACTCAAAATTGTCCCTAGGTGTGGTTGTGAGCATGAATGGTTGTTTGTCTCTGTGTGCCCTGCGATTGGCTGGCTCCGCCTACTGCCCGAAGACAGCTGGGATAGGCTTCAGCAAGCCCACAACACTTTGTGGAGATATACGATTGGATGGATGGATGGACGGATGGATGCATTTCAGATGTTCTAGTAGGCTTTTTGGACTTTTTTGGTTTTGTTTTTGCTTTCGAGAAGAAGAGAGAAGATTTTGTGCAAACCCTGACTGCTCTATGGACCGGTTCATAATTGACTCCACTCCAGAAGTGTGTCTGATTAATCCCAAATAAATATCTGATGTTCTGTTTTTTTGTGGGTTTTTTTTGGGGGGGGGGAGGGGGCGCTATTTTCCGGGAATCGTTCGCTTTTACCAACTCTCCGACCCAAAGTAGGAGAGACCATCGAAGAAGTGCCCACACACGTGCGTCAATCAAGCGGGTGCATTTAGGACCAATCCCAAATCTGGCTTCGCTTTGTTAATGGTGGATTTACATGGGCCTTTATAATGGGGCGGGGCTTCCACTGACAGATGTCCTTTCACTTGCCGTATATTTATAAAAAAAAAAAAAAGTATCGCAAGTTGGTTCAGTCGGAAATCACTAATTTCGTCGACATCATAACCCCAATGGTAAGCTACATTTTGTCATGTCCGCTTTTCTTTGTCAGATGTGTAGAATTATCTTTTGGATTCAATCATGCTTGCTTGCTTTGTTTGTCTGCTTTGATTTGTGTCCTTGGCGCTTTATGTTTACTGCATCGCTTAACGTTTCTTGCTGTTCGCAATCGGCAGTGCAAACACTCGCAGGAGCAGCGCTCAAACAACGTGGGCAAAAGTTAAAAAGTTAAGACTTGTAATTGCAGTGGTGTCTATGATTATTTCTGTTTTGTTGGAGTGTTTCCACGTCATGTTTGTCTGGCTGCATTGGAAAGTTTGAATGATTTTTCGTGACAGCTTGAGTTAGAAGTGACGGGGGCTTTGCTTCCGGGTTTGACCTCTGGGATTTATATAGTCCTTTTGTTCGGTTCAACTTGTATGGTTTCTCATTATGTTTTGACTATGAATCTTGATGACATTAGAAATAATTTTGATTACATTTTTGAAACATTACGAGAAATAATGATTACAATGTTATCGTTGATCAAATTATTGTTAAGATGAAGGTATTAAGTTAATGAATTCATGTCTATTATTTACATTATGATGGATAAAGACAGGTAATTATTTTTGTTGTTGTATTCATGCTTACTTTTAGGCTATTACCTGCTGTGTGCCTCAATAAATAATCAAAGAGTACATCGCTATTCAGAGGAGCATGAAAAACGGAAATAACTGAACAGTTAAACTATGAAGAGTCGCTTCAGTGCAACGCTTCCAAAAAGATAATATTGTGCAAAGGAGGTGGCATGGCAACCCTACTGCATGCCAAACTTCACTGTCGTACTCGGGTGAGTGAAATGATAAAATACTGTACGCCTATTGTCAACACTGACGCATGTAATAACTAAAAGCTGGGTCAACTCGGATGCAAATAACCGATTAACATTTGCACATGTACAATATTTTTTCTCAGCCCAGCAAGCGTGTGTCCACAATAGGGGCATACACACAAAAAAAGGGATTTTATTCATGATACATTTTATTAGTTATCTGAATTTTACTCCGCCAAATGTTGGAATCTGCATTTGCCCTAAAAGAATCCATTTTGGGTTGAACCCCAGTGTAGGCGTTAATGTTGAAACAAGCTGCATCTTTTAACATATACAGAAAGACCCTCTATTGCCAGGTTGATGAACCGACCAAATGCGGGCTGCTGCTGCCGATGATGATAATAGCAGGGCTGGACCTGAGTGGCGTGATTACCACAATAAAGACGATGAACGGAAACGTTGAGTAAAGAAAAAAAAACACACACAGAACCACAGGCACACACGCACACTGACAGTCATTAAGCCAGCATATTGTTTTTGATTGCCTCTTAATAAAGACTACATGGACCCACAAGCCAGGTTCCTTGAGTGTGATTGTGCAAACTGTGAGGCAAATAATACCATACGTTTATCTAGAGCCACATGTGAACTCCAGTGAGTGATTGAACACGAAAGCTATAAATAGTATACACTTAAAATAACATTTGATGATTGCGCTCACCCCGAAAATCAATCTCTCTCTCTCTCTCTCTCTCTCTCTCTCACACACACAAAGAAAAAAATCACTTGTGGTCTACCAAAAACCTCTCACTACACTTACACAGGAAAAACAAAAAACAATGATCCCACACCCCGACTCCATTTGACCTAAAATTTGAGATGTTGTGTTGTGCCATCCTTACCAACAATTACACAGATCCATTCAAATTAAAACCTGCTTGGTTACATTTTTCATTTTTTTGTGGGGTCGGGGGGTTGGGATGGAATGACCCATCACACACCCAAAAAAACATGTCCCAAAATACCTCAGCAACATGCACAAAAAAACTCACATCCCTCCCAAAAAAATCCCGACATCCACCCCACCCACACACGCTAGAAAACACGCCACACCAAAAAAATCACACATGCACACTAAAAACCTCTCACCCAAAACTCTCACACACACACACCAAAAATTTTCACTTTAACCCCCCAAAAAACTCACACAAACTAAAACTCACAGGAAACCAGCAAAAACTGTCATTGATGGCAAAACAATTATCACTCCCAACAAAAAACTCTTACATCAAAAATTCTCACATTTTCACCTTTCAGTGACACCACAAAACTCACTCAGACCAAAAAACCTTGCAGTCTCACCAAAGTCCTTTTACATAGAGCAGAAAAAAAAAGTCACTGACACCCCCAAAAACGCTCACACAAATAATAAGCAATCTTTTTTTGTCCTACTGAAACAATTTAAGGTTTAGATTTTAAGACGGTGTCAGGGTTGCAAAGTAGGATTAGGTTTCAAATCGGGTTTATACGCATTTGTCCCTAATACTGCTAGCAAACAGGCACAAGGTGTTAAAAGCCTAACCCCCTTGGAGGAAGTCACGAGGCAACTGAATTGTGCGGTATGACAGGCTGCATACTTGCCCGTCATGCTGTGAGAAAATACTCGACTGCCATTAGCATCTTTCGACTCGCCAAGGAATGTCTTTTCCAAGACGAGCTGCTTTTACAGTTGCACAACAGGTTGCTGTTAAAGGGGCTGAGAAGGCCTCCGTCCACTCATCGCGCTTTCAGCGGGTGCGCGCGGCGTACGGCGAGAGCCAATTAGTTTAGCCAGAGCTGTGATCAGGGTGGACGGCTCTTTATTGATCCGTGGCTTCAAAGTAACGAGGAAGAGGTCTCACGCTCTCGCTCGGGTGTCAGCCGGGCCGTGATGAGACACAGAGTAAACAAGGTGCCGATATCTTCCTCCTCTAATTCACTTGTGCACTTTACACTGAATTATAAGCGTCTCTCAAGACATTAATCAAAATTGGGGTGATCGCGATGCGTGTCTTGGAAGAATTGCCAGGACCTGGTAATCGATTCTTCTCAGCTATGTTTAGAAGGCAGTGCGGTGCACGCTTGGGGAAAACGCTTATCTCGTCATTTGAAATCCCCAAAGCTCTCCCTCATTTTAAATTGGCTTTCTGTGGTGAAAAATAAGAAATCAGGGCTCAGAAAAAAATATGAGCGTCTTTTGGTCTCTTATTGGGAACGTGTTACACTCCACAAATGGTGCAATTACAAAAAAGTCCAGATGATCACAACCTCAAGTAGCATCACAATCGCACCTTGGGACAATATAAAGCGCTGGTGTCAAAGTCAAGGCCCGGGGGCCAGATCTGGCCCACCACATCATTGTTTGTGGTCCGCGAAAGCAAATCAAAAATGTCAAGTTCCATGATGCGCGCTAAAATCTGAACCAAAATTTCGAATTGTCATATGTCAGCCACAATAACAGTTATTATTCTTGACTTCTGATTTTAAAACTTGTTCATTCATCAATTTGTTGTGCGCTGTGTATGTAATATGTGGAGGGGATTAAACATTGATCTGGTTTCCCAAAATTCATAACGGCCCTCCAAGGGAAACCGTAACTACAATGTGGCCCGCGACAAAAATGAGTTTGGTATAAAGCGTTCAATCAACCTATCATGCATGTTTTGGGAACGTGGGAGGAAACCGGAGTACTCAGCGAAAACCCACAAAGGCGCAAGGGGAACATGGACACTCCACTCTGAAAGGTCGAACCCCGAACCGCTATGCTGTGAGGTAGACGTGCCGCCTAGCAAGGAACAAAGACATATCATTGGCCTTCTATGCTATGTGTCGCTCATTGACTTCCTGTTATCTAAACAAGCTACAGGAACTCTGAAGGCACAAAATTAACATTACATTTTGCAAATGTAATGTGTGTGTTCAACAGACTATCACGACAACAGTGCTTGAACTTGTTTGGGGAATCTGGTAATAAACAAGGAGAAAAGAGAGTGCAAGAAGAAGCAGCAGCAACAACACCTGTTGGGAATAATAATGAGAAAAGAGAAAATAAAAGTGACAGCGACGGCAACAGCAACCACACCTGTCAGATGAGGGAATCCTGGGACTAAACAAGAAGAAAAATTAGAAGAAAGAAGTAAGCAGTTGGAAGAAAAGTCCAAACCTGTTGAAAGCTCTGTTGGGAAGGCACCAACAACGACACACTTTTCAATCTGGTTGGGGAGCCTGGCTGAGCAGAGTGACAGGAGGATTAGCTTCAGATTTTTCTTTTTTTTTTTTTGGGTCAGCAGGCCTGAAAGCCGTGCGGTTCCTTAAAGCAGACAAACAAGCCAGTATATATACTCCGTTGGCTTGAGGGCTTAATAAAGTCTGCCTCCGTTACCAGGCTGGGCTTTATATGACAACACAGCCGCTACAGTGGTACCTCTACTTACGAAATTAATTGGTTCTGGAAGAAATTTCCAAACTAGAAAATTTTGTAAATAGAGACACGCTTTCCATGTAAATGCCCTAATCCATTCCAAGCTCCCCAAAATCCAGACAGAAATGTTTTCTAATGCATCAAAATAGGTAAGAAATACATGTTACAATTAGATTATTGCACAATAAATGAGAGTTGGACATAATGTAAAAAAACAAAGAAGAGTAAAGAATAAAAATGATGGTTATTTAACTTTTAACTGCATCCTCATCGGTTTTTGCCCTCTTCAGTCCATGTTCCCTTCCAGAAGTGGTTTTTGCCTGGCGTTTTGTAAAGAACTGATCCAAGGACGTTTGCCCATGTCGGCTTGTAACAATCCTTCGAAAATGTCCAAGGCAAACATCAGCATAGTGAGCGATCGCCCGACTGGTGAACACTTTTTCTGGGTGATTCACATTTACCGGTCCATAAAAGTATCGGAACACCTCGTGGCCCGAGGGGCGAATGGCGAGGACGCTGCATAGACACATATCTATCTATTTACACAAATAGACACATCTGGTCGAGGTCCCTCTTAGCCAATGGGATGTCAGAAAGATGCTCGGTCATAGCCAATGGCAGAGCAGCTATGAGTATGTTGCGTTCAGGAAACTCGGAGCTGCGAGTAGCAGCCCAGATTGTATTTTTACCTTTCGTATCTTGAAATTTCTTTCGTAACAAGAGGTAATATTTCCTTCTCGGGACGTTTCGTAACTAGAACATTTCATATGAAGAGACGTTCGTCAGTAGAGGTATCACTGTACTTCCCAAAAGACAAAAAAAAGGTGCTTCTTACCAAATGACAGACAACACCTCGAAGTAACGAGTTACACAGATCAACTCGGCACTTTTTAGAGGAGGATTTGAATTCCGTACTTACTCTGAAAAGAAGCTCATTACAGGTGTTCACAATATCATCTGGTAAAGGTCACATTTCGGGACGCTATTGGAAGCTAATTACAATCATCCAAAATGAAGAGTGGCTAAATGTCTCCGCATTTGAGATCGACGCCCCCTTGGATAAACGAGCTTTTAGTGCAGTCATTTAATTAACATTCATTTGACAAGCCGCAACTCTTTAAATGAGAGATGGGGCACAATTTGCGAGCTCTTGATCAAACTTATGTGGTGGTAGTAAAGAGAGAGAGAAAGAGAAGGGCTGTACAAATATGGAAGGAATCATAATCACTATTATTTTGATTGAGATTGAAATCACGACTAATAAAATGAGTAGTCATCAACTTCAAAACTTAGTCCGTGTTCAACTACGAAAACTCACCCACTCAAAACGATCATCACAACCTTATGCTCGTTCTTCACCGCACGTTGAACACTTTACTCTTGAACTTTCTATTGCCGTTGTCAAGTGCTAAATGACCCTGTAAATTTTAATGTGAAATCCAAGCCTCTTTGCATTTTCATTCTGCTAAATCCACACCGTGTACACAATCAAACTGGAAATAAGCATATCCCTTCATCATATCGATTTCGTCTGATGTTGTTTATTTTCACAAGTCGTGGGGACTTAGTGGTTTAAGGTGAGACTTCGACTCTCGTATTTCGTGCCATATCAGGCGGAAATTCGTGTTGGGATGATAACCGAAAGCCCTCGGATCTTTGTAGCCTTGAATTTTGAAGAAAGCAAAATTCCTTGAATCCTTCAAAACTCACCTTTAAATATAACTTGAAAGGGCAACAAGAAAATAAATTTGCAAGAACGTAAAATATGAAGTCACTGAAATAATAGCAATTAAAACAATAAAGATAAATACTGGATGCTCTTGCGTGCGTTGGCCTCTTAGGGGCAGTGTGATGTGCATGAAAGGAGTACACACAAAGAGATCAGTAGAAAGTTGCCATTGGACTCTATTATTAATAAAACTTGTTTTTCCCCCAATTAGGAAGAATTTGTAACTTTGAGTTGTGTTATCATACCAGTGTGTATGTGTTTCCATGCTGTTTGTGTAGTAAAATTCATTATTTGAAGAAATATCGCTCTCAAAGAAAATGCTAATGCCCCGTTAGCACACTGATAAGCTTTTACATTGACTTTAGCGTTAGCGAAGCATGTCTTG